AAATTTGGTCTCCAATAAACACTAAAACTGTAACAAAAATTGCAATTAAACCTATTGGCTACATAGAGTTTAAATTTCTGCACCTATATCTTTATCTATCTTTGCATCTCTAGCTTCTATTGGGAGGCAGCATGGTTGTGAACAACCTAGAGGTTCTTTCTGATTTTAAATAGGGAACCCTGAGTTTTAGTTTTGGTTTTGTCATATACTGGCATTAACTCAAGATAATTTTGTGGAACTTCCTTGCACATCTGTTGTTTATTTTGTTTTACTCATCGGTGATATCAGGCTAATCACCTCTACTCACGGCTTTGGTTTGAATGATAAAGGGCATTATTTCAGCAACATTTATGATCCATAAATATTAGTTTCCTTCTTTCCTTGTATCCTTTCTCTCCATTAAACTGAACCAATTGATCATTATATATATATATTTTTTTCATTATAAATCTGCAACATCAGAGATACAAGGTTTTTAAAGGGTAAATTTGGTTGGCAAATAAGGGTATCTTCACATATTTATATGATTACATAAAAATTTATTACATTTATATCATGTATCTTTGTGATATTTTTTCTATATTCACAATCATCATGTTGTGATGGGTATAAAATATCTTAGGTTTTTAAAATTCACATTCCAACATATCATACCTAATTGTTTATATTTATACTTATTTTCTAGTTTCCATGTGAAGTCCATGTGCCCATGAGCTAAGGTGGCTGGAACATGGTGCTAAAGATGTGAAATTTATGGTTATGTAATTTACACTGAGAAAACCTCTTGTCTTACAATGTGAAGTACTGGTGAGCCCAACTTACTGCTCTTAAATGTGTGCTGGTTAGACCCAAAAAATATCAGGAAAGAGGGTGTGGATTGGTCAGGACATGTCTAGATCCAATGCTAGTTGGGTCTAGACATGTCCTGACCAATCCACACCCTCTTTCCTGATATTTTTTACTAACCCAAAGTTAGTAAAAACATAGTTAAGGTTAGATAGAAATATGGGACACTCAGTTATCATACATTCTAATGCATTGTTATTAATCTGATTACAACTGAAAAAAATAGAAACTATCATGAATTATTTTAATACCCTGGTATATAATAACCCTTCTGCACAACTGCACAATAGGGGGATGGGACTTAGTTGGTATTTTAGTGGTGTATTAACTTTGCTTCATAGTATCTTTAACATTAAAACCTGTGTTTCTCTAGGGGAAGAAATATGTTTATCACTAACTATTGCAGAAACAGAAGCAAACTATTTTTCCTCTTCCATTATGTGACTTATAATAAATGTTTATATCACAGTAAATGTTTCAGGATGATATTCTTTTCTCAATGCTTGAAAGATTTTGTCAAAATCACAAATATTCAAGCAAGTTTAAGGGAGGGGAGAGGAAAAGATAAAAGAGAGAGAAAGAGACCAATAAATGGTATAATTGATTTTAACCTGGAACAACCCTAAGGAACTCTGGTGGTGCAGTGCCTAAGGCATTTGACTGCTAACAGCAGGTTGGTGGTTCAACCCCACCAGCTGCTCTGCTGAAAAGAGATGGGGTTATCTACTTCGGTAAAGATTTACTGCCTTGGAAACTCAATGGGGGTCACTATTAGTTGGAAATGACTGGATTGAAGTAGTGTTTTGTTTTGTTTTGTTTTGAAACAATTCTGGAAGATGCCCTGGTAGCACAGTAGCTAAGCATTTCACTCCTAACCAAAAGGTTGGCAATTCAAAACCCACCAGCAGCTTGCTCCTTGGGAGAAAGATGTGGAAATTGGCTTCTAAGATTATAGCCTTGGCCACCCTATGGGGCAGTTCCACTCTTTCCTATAGGGTCATTACGAGTTGCAATTGACTTGACAGCAACAGGTTTGGGTTTTGGGGAACAATTCTGGAACCTGTTTATATCACTGTTTCAAGTTTTTTCTGATTTAATTTTCAACATTTTTTGATGCAAGGGAATCCTTATGTGTGTATTATTACAACTTTGTGCGATGCTACTGCCAGGTGTCACTGCGTATATCCTATCATGTGCTTCAAATGTGCAATTTCATTTCCCTTTCTTTTTGTAACAATTTAATGTACATAGTGTTAGCAATGAAGTGTTAACGAAGACAATCAAAGAGCAACAGAACAAATGTGAAAAGCTTTACATTTTAACAAGAAACTCATCAGTAAGTAAATACATCTCCTCTCACGGAGAAGGAAAAGGTAGTGTGAAAGTCCAGGCCACTAAAAGGCACTAGCTAGCATGACTCTAGGAGCTCTGGTAGCGTAGTGCCTAAGGCACTTGACTGCTAACCAGAAGGCTGGCTGTTCAAACCCACCAGCCACTCCTCAGAAGGAAGATGGGGCAATCTACTTCCACAGTGAAACCACCTAGGAAACCCAAGGAGGGGTCATTATGAGTTGGGTCCGACTCAACGGCACATAACAAAAACAACACCAGCATGACTCTAACAGCAGGTGATAAAAAGGACAATAGCTCAGAATAAAAGCCAATAATCATTACTTTGCCATTCATTTCCTCTGGAATCTGTATTCATGTAAACGTGTATGTCCAGAAATTTAAGACAATTTTTTAAAATGTTTACAGTTGGAGGGAAACTACATAATTTATGATATTGCAATGCTTATGATGAGTTAGAGTTGAATACAAAAGCAATGTTGTTGTTATTTGCCGTCGAGTCAGCCCCGACTCATAGCGACCCCTCCTTGGGTTTCTGAGGCAGT